TCTGCTTTTCATATCATAAATACCACAGGTTGGGGGAGACTGTCTGGTGTTTGTCTCTGTTAGGAGATGGCTTTCAAAGATTAAAGAAAGAACAATTCCGAACATCTAAAGACAAATTCTCAATGTCAGCTAATGCTGTGAGGCCTCCTGATGTCTGCAGTCTCCAGGCCTCAGCTATTCCACAGGTGAACTTCAAACATAGATGATTTCCTAGTTAACCCCAAGCTGCCAGGCTTACAGCTGGTCCTGCTGTAAAGGAGGAGGGAAAACTGAAGGGGTGTGAAGTCTTCAGTTGGTAAAGGTGTCTGGATCAGATGATTCAGATGGTCAGAGCTCTGGACCATCAAGGCTTGACTGAAACTCTGTCAGAGCAAGACAGAAACCTTTTTCCCACAGAGAGCCAACGGCATCTCTGTGTGGTTTCCTACAGAATGTTCCTCAGGCTTCACAGTCCCCAGCCCCAACTGTGGATCCAGGCCCTTCCAGTGGGCACCAGAGCACAGAACCACCTGCATGCTCCTGCCCACGGAAGCTGGCAGCAGCTCAGCTGTCCTGCCTGCAGGGTGACATCCACAGCTCCACTCCCTTTGGCAGCTGAGGCGGGTCAGGGAGGCTGGTGCCTTTTCCAGCCACCTGCCACAGGTGTCATCTGCCGGCTGGGGCATGGTTAAGAGTTGCACGAGGAAGCTGGGAGTTCTGGGGTGGAGATGGTATGTACACAACAAAGCAGACAAAGCTGGAGGAAACCAGTGGTCAAAAAGGAGTTTGTTTGGAGATGTCTTGGTTTCATTCCTCTTTCATTTTAGACATACACAGAAGTTGGGACTTCAGGCTTTTAAACTGGTTTCTAATGCTGTGTTTGGATTTTCATTCTACTAGCCCAAGAACTTGTGCTGCTGCCCCAAGGCACACCTGGCACACAGTTCATTGCTTCCTTCTTGCAGCATTCTCCTGCAAAGGCCACCTCCCCTCAGCCTCTGCCCACCACACTGCGGTTCCCTCACTTCCCTGGGGAAGCAGGGAGAGGCAGCAACTGCTGCTGGCCCCCCAGGTGATAAGGTGGAGGCAGGGTCTGCAGGTCAGGGGAAGGAGGTGTGGTGAAGCAGGAGGCTGTGGCAGGCACCAGCTGGAGGCACTGGCTTGAGGCACAGGAGAGAGGGACAGGGGCTTAGTGTTTTTAAATGGTGAAAAGGTACACAAGAATAGGGCATGATACTGGGATCCTGGCTAGAGAAGAGTAGTAGGGAAAAGCAGGTGTTGGTGGAGACTGGTTTTGAGAGGTCTGATAGTCACCTCCTTCCGCTATCCCAGCTTACTTGTGATTTTCATAGGAGTATATGGCAATGCCACCCTCCTGTCCCATGTCACCTACTGCTCACAGATTCCCTTTCAGACTGATGACAAACAGAAAACCCCAGGAGCCTGGCCTAGTGGCACTGCTTTGCTGCCCAGGCTGCAGCAACCTGATGGGTGGCCTGAAGTTACAAGCCTTGGGCCAGCTGCACTTCCAACATCCAGTAGGCTTTACTTCCATCACACACCTGCCCCTACCATTAAAATGAACACTGCAGTATCACTACTGTCAATCAATCCTCACCAGTAAATGAAACCTGTGAATTTTAAATGTATTATTGAAATGACTGTGCCTTTCTGTATATATGAGTTACAATGTGGAATATTAAATATTCTAGTATCTAACCCCTAAGATACTCAATAAAAAGCAAACAGCTAATTGTGTTAGTTGTGGTTATCCAAGCCCACCTCTCTCCATTGCCACACTGACTGAAAAATCCCTTTTTTATGCTTGTCCTGACAGAGTTTCTCTGGACTGCAGAGCCACTAGGAGCTTCCTGCCCTATTCTGAAACTTTTCATGCTCACAGAAGGAAAAGTGTGTTGTAGGCTTGGGTCAGCTGATTTAACAAGTGCAAAAAAACTTCTCCAGTCCTTGAAAATTTTTTATTGCTCATTTAGAAACTTGAAAGACACTCCTTACATGAACAACACATTGTAGCTGCATATTAATTATAAAAAAGGACATCGCAATCACGAGAGTTATTTCTCAATCAAATATCAAGCAATAGGAGAACAAAGCACAGTCAATCTGTTTCAAGTGGCCATGGGATAGCAAGAATGACGAAAAGCTTCTACGGACCTTTTACCTCCTATAATTATTTTCTAAATCATGTAGAGCACCTATGCTAGCTATATTAACATTTTAGATAAATGACCTGGAAAACTAAAACACACCAGAGTAGTGTGTCCACTGAGGAGAATGAGGGGCTAAGCGACTGAACTGTTTTGACAGAACATTTTGAGATTAATTTATAATTTATCTGTAACAAGAGTTGCCCATTAGCAGTAGTTCTTCCAAACTGCAAGGTCATTAAAGCTTTCACGTGCCCTTCTGAGCAGCAGTTAATTAAAGGCATATCTAAAGCAAACTCTAAGTGTGATTTCTGAATGGAAAGGTGTAGGTGGTCAGCAAAAAGCACTGATAACAGGGTAGAGAGTGAGAGCCCACGTGCTGAAACATCTCTATTTCTGCTGGTACCAGACTAGGTGAAGTAAAACCACGTGGCTGTGTCTACAAACGGCACAATGCCACCTTCATTTTGCTTGCAGACATTCTGTAACATGCTGGTTTACCCAGTCTGGTGACTACTTTTTACGTACTCTGACCAGTCGGTCCTAAATCAGACCATTCTGGAGGAGGTATGTTTGAAGTGTGGTTCTGTTACCTAGAATAACTTCATGACTACGGACACATCATCAGAATGTGCACGGAGAAAAAGCTTATGCCTGTTGCCATTGACAATGAGGCACAGTTATATTGCTGGAAAATGACACTAAGAAAAGATCTGTATTAGGGTCATTCATAGTCTGCTTGCTCACTTATGGATCATAGAAACTTTCTGCACCTCTTTAGTCACTTCAGTCACCTTGAATAAATGCAGTCACATGAGAAACACTGTATTTCCTCCTGTACACTGACATTTCAGTAGGACTTGTAAGATCTAGAAAGTTTAGTTAAATTTAGTCAGGCTATGCAAAAATATTGACCAAGGAAAAACGCAGACAACACGCAAGCCCAACTCTGCCTTGCAAATATCCTACCACAGACCACTTTTCAGACTGCTCCTCAGCTTAGTTTACAGGTCTGGCATTCAGCAGACCACTGACAGAAAATGACAGAAACCTCATATCTAATGGGAGTCAGACAGTCAGGATACTCAGTGGAAATATGATTTTTGGCTGGTTTACCAGATTTAGAACCTAATGGACACTTTAATGACTACATTCACTATGAAGAAAACAACCTTAATTTTATTTATAGTGGCCATTTCACTCTGTTGGAAGTTTTGTATTTACACCTTTTTTGAGGTATAGTGTGCACCAGCAAACTAAGAACTGTGCAGATAAACAGACAAAAGTAAGGAAAGCATGACATGCAAATGCCCATGCAAAACTGAGCATCAACCCTTAATTTATCTACTGTGTTAGGGGTTAATAGCAACCATATTGCATTAGCAAGGTACAAAGTTTTGGCAACACCAAAAGCGAATGTTTTGGAGCAACAGTGACCCTGAGATGTATGTCCATGTTACTATAAGTTTAATATTATTATATGATGCAATGTCAACATGAGAACATGTTCCTCTCTCTGAAGCAAAGAAGCACATAAAATACAACGCTGCTTCAACTCAGATAAGCATATCTGCATTGGAAATCTTCTAGGTCCAACTAATCATGTCCTCAGCCTCTGTTTTGGAATAAGCATGCTAACCCTGACTTACATTTTTATGGTATTTTTGCTGGTGAAAGTCCCTTGTTGAATCACCTAAAGACAAGTAACAGCTATAAAAAACAGCAAACATTCTTCAGGTTTAACCACTTACTGAAAAACATAATTTTAAAAAGGTAGGGAGATTTTTCAGAAATACAAATGGGAGGTAGACACCTCACTTTAAGGTGTTTCGAAGGCCATTCATCATCTCCCTTAACACTTAATAAGTAGCACTTGAATAATTATTAACTTGTCTGAAGTCCAAAACTATGATGACAGTAAAATGATCATATGGTCCCTGTGTTTTATCTAAAGATAATACACTCAGAAAACTACAAAGACAGAGGTACATGAGCATAAATAAGCATCTGTGAAAACACTTCTAAAAAAGGTAAGAAAAATTGTTTCTATTTCACTTGTGCAGAAACAGCAGAGAAAAATTACTGTGTTTCCCTGGGCATTTCCCTTCAGATGACAGCAGATCAGGAACAAACTCCAAATACCTGTAACCATCTCCTCTGTTCTATCATGACTAGCCTGTATTTCTGCATCACTGTAATACTGCTGTATCTCAAAAACAAGAAAACTTTGTCATGTGTAGTCCACACCCAAGAAAAACAATTATGAACTCCCAAGAGAAGAGACAAAAGCATACCATACTATGACACAACAATGGAAAGTTAAAATTTCAAGTTGGAGTAGCTGCAAATACGTGATCTTTAAAAAAGTCCTCTTGAATATTAACTTAATTCAGAACAAATCCTGTGCTGTGTAGAACTGTAAATATGTTTGCTGAACATTACATTTCAAAATACATTATATAAAAAAAAAGAAGATTCAAAGATTTTCAGAGAACTTCAGTGTTTACAACCTCTCCTGCCAACCAGAATGCTCAAATTATTGTATCAAAGTGAGCAGTCTGTATCTTACCAAAAGACATTAAATAATAGTAACAGCAATAACTTTACATCTGCCTTATTTCCACGTACCTTTCCTTTTAAAAGCCCATGGCTTAGTGTTCACAAATCTAAGAAATATTTGTAAATACACAAAGATAAAGCCTAATAGCACACAATATAAAAATGATACATTTCAAAACCATTACATTATTATTATTGAAAAGTGCACTACCATTAATCTGGAGGTCAGAGATGCTTTGATCAGGGACATAATTTCCACAATTAACTCCTCAACAAAGTTTTTCATCTTCTTGATTAAATGAGAAACCTTTCATCCACCAAGGTTTTGGATGCCAAATTCTTCTGCCCAAGTTTATTGCGAATAAACCTAAATATCTACGAACATTTTAGGAAAAAAGTATTAATGAAGAAACACTTACACCAGTATGTTTCAGTACCTAGCATAAAATAATAACTTCAAATTATCTTTAAGTCATAATAAATGAGGGAGTCTGGTACGTAACTCCCTTTAGCATTTTTTAAACATTTTCAAATATATTTCCACCCTAAATATTATATAATTATGTGCGATTTATTTTAACACATATTCATGTTTTCTACTGAAAGTTATTGGTAGCCTCTTTATTCATTAAAGGCATGTGAACAAAATTAATTTCTTGCAAGCCTGTCAGTGGCTTAAGAACTTTTATAAGCTCTCCGCATAATCTTCTGTCACCATGTACTGCTAACCTACTGCTTTAATTACCTAGTTAACTATATACACTTCTGTACTAACCCACATTTTAAAAATACTACTTAATTTTTAAATTGAAATTTACCTCTTGTTGCAAATACGTTAGAATAGCTGCTAAAACAAAACTTTGGGAAGCCAGATCCACAATGGAGAAAAACAGGATATCAAAGATGAGCAGTGTTGTCTCATTGCCATAAAAGAGAACATGACTGAAAGACTGTCCTTCATCTACAGAAAGAAAAAAAATTTTGAAAAATTATTATTTCTGTGAAATGCAAATTTGTGGAGTTCAGTCTACACTGAACAAGCTGATAAGAAAAAAAAGTCAGAGCAAGATCTAATTATGGCATTCTATGGCATCGTAAGAGCTAGTTATGTCATTCTTCTTAAGCAAAACAATAAAAACCTTTCCCACGTCCCACACACAACTTTATTGACTCCTAAAGTCTCAGTCAGATTGTTTAAAAAAGGCTGCTTTGAACAAGAAGCAGATATAACTTTCCTGTCACTGAGATTTTAAGCATGTGTTAACTCTGGCCCCAACTCAACAAACTAATAAAATGATATGCTTAAAGCCTTACTTAAGAGGAGCTTCATTAATATTATCTTTGCTCATTGGTTAGCAATTTCCTATAAAACGGGTCTTTTAAGCTTAAAATACCTTTTTCATAGCCAAAGTAGTCTAGACCACTTATCCACTTCTTTATTTTATCAACAAACACTACTTTCAATGGAGAAAAGAACACTTCAAATTACAGAAAATAGGTTCTTTTTCCTCTTTTTTCTTTTTCATTAAAGTGTCTGATTCAAGTTTTACTGGAAGCAGCATATTTTTGCTACAAAAATTGTTTGTGTTCTACTGGCATGAATCCTGATTTGCATCTACACTTCTAGGAACCCTGGCAGGCACTGAGCAACATATTTATATCAACAATTATGAACTTTAAAATAATGGCAGTCAAATGACAAAATCCTTGCTGAATATTGCACATTTTAAAGACATTTCATCATGCTGACACACTTCATTTTATCCCAGACATTGCATACTTGAAAATACTTATGGCTGAATAGAACTGGGGTTTAGAACAGGGTTTTGGAATGAGGGGTTCACTGGAAAGTGTGGAATCACAGACAGATGCTGAAGAAAGTCCTAGTTACAGTTTTAATTATGATAGTGGTTATCATAATGGTTAGGGGTGGAATCAGGGTCTGAACTAAGGTTTTCAAAGATAATCTATCAAAAGATTCTGTACAGCTCAAGGATTGAGGAAGCAGACTGGTATCAGGCCTAAGTCCACATTTTACATTGAATTGTAATGTATATACCGGTCCCCAGTACACATCTGTTAACAGGAGGAGACCAGGACTCAGGGTTTCAGAATCTTGGAAGTGGAGGACGTGGAGGGTCAACCACTGGATGAGGATTCCAATGATGCAGGTATTGGCCACCTGGCAGTAATTATGAACAGGTTAAGGTTTTTAGAGCCTTGGTGATTCACAGCATGAATCTTCCAGGGATTCAGATTTAGGAACCTAGGCTAAAGGTTGAGATGTGGTCAAGAACTTTCATATTTTTAACACGTGCTGGTCACTTAGAAGTACATATGGCTAGATTTTGCATAGGCTTGAGATTCAGGCTAGTGCACTGGAGAATCCAATTTTATTTGGCATAGCTCCAGGGACCAGAGTCAGAAGTGGTGTCATCCTGTTTCTGCTGGAATACTTGTTTTTGCTGTAGACATTGGCAATGCTTAAAAAGCTTAAAAATAAAATAATCAAGAACTCAAATTAGTTAGTGGAGTTTCTGAAGATAAGCAGTGTATAGCATTGAATATTCAAATAAAATGCCCTCACTGTGATCAATAGCCTCTTTAAATAAACTGTCTTTCTGTACTTTTACTTGTTTTATAAGAAATTTGGTTCCATATTAAAAAAAAAATAGCATGGAGCTATTTAAATACTTTGGGTCTTTTTTCTATTTACAAAGTGGATGCTGGATCTAGACAACAAGCTGAGGGAGCACTTTGTAAACACATGCATGTGTCTACACAGTATCCTTTCAGCTGCCTAAAAGAAAACATTGCAGTCAAGCAACAAATGTTAAGTAGGACTTCTGTGACCTGAAGAACATCTCTTAAATACCTTGCTTACAAGCAGTCTTTTAATGACCTCTCCTGCTGATTTTTATATAAATTCTGTGAAATAAATCTACCCAGAAACATACATAGTTATAATAGCACAAATACCAATTCACAAATCTTTTTACCATTGTAAAAAATACTTTTCTCTAATGGTTCCATGAACTCCATGCCAAGCATCCATTCAAGCAGCAACTTATCTTTAACAATATAATCCATATCTTTATGAACCTATAAGAAAAGGAAAAACAATAATTCTTGTTTTATAATTTAAAAGAAAAGTATTTGTTACAAAGTGAAGATCAGCTACTTAGACCTCTATAAATGAGAAAAAAAGAAGCACTGGTCTATTCTAAGACAAACATAAGTACATAACAAAAAAGGATTTGTCATTTTCAAGAGCAGGCTGCACTGCTGGACAGTACTCCATTTTTTTTCTTTTTGAATGAAGCACTGTTCCAGTTGCCATGAAGTCTTTAAAAAGTCTTTAAGCACATATGCTTAAAGAGAAATTACAGTCTTTCATTTTTACAGTTTTTAGTCTCTACCCACTATAATTACATTTCGCTTAATATAGTACAGTCAATATACATACGTGATCAATAAAAGAACTGAGAAACTTGTTCATGGTGTTGTATGCCCTTGTGCTTTGTTCAAAAGTATTTGCTGATGAGCCCAAAAGCCTAGCAGGACCACGTTTCTGAAATATAACATGACCATGACTTCAGCAGAAAAATTACATATTTTAAGTAACATTGACAGAATATAAATATCTCACTTACTCTTGTTAGGGTTTCATGAATCCTGTCATAATTCTGTCGCATATTTCTTGAAATGGAAATCTGAAATGTCTGGCCATCTGTGTTGGGTAACAAACCTCTCTGACTACATAGATTTTCCTATACAATTAAAGCAATTGTAATTTAATGTTAATGTCATTCACAGACTCAAGAAATGAAATTCAAAAGCTTTTCATTTCCTCTCTTTCATGTACACATAGCACCTAATATCTCTAAATGTTTGAATCTACTGCACTTTTGGTTCTATTACAGCAAGATTTTCTTAGGACATGAAATTCTGACCCCTGCTGTCACAAAGTAATATTCCTCTTTTCACTCATGTTCAGTTCATGCTAATACATCTTTCAGAATTCAGTCTGAAGCCCTTCCTTTTATGTTTATTATTTATTCTGTATTCGTCCTGCTTTTTTTTGTTCTTTGCATTCAATTTTTTTATGTTTTTCAAGTCAAATTTAATCAATCTCAAAACCCGAAGCAAACAGAAAATTCAACATCTTCTTAGAACTTTTTTTCCCAAAATTATACTTAAATAAGCAATCAAGAAAAAAATTATAGGAATAGACATGTAAAAAATATGAATAAAAAGTTTCCTCTACATTTCAGTGTTCGAGATTTAATTTTCACATGCATATGTTTTTTTCTGCCAACCTATCACTGAAATTCTTTGTCTGAGTTGCTTTTTTCCTAGTTGTCCATATAAAGATGCAAAATACAATGAAATTTAGTACAAAGTTCTCCAATCTTGTATTAGATAGTTTACATTCACCTCACTTGCAGCAAAGAAACAACATATGACAAAGTAGAACAGATACTTGCTCAAAATAATTTATGTAAAGAATAGGTTATATCAAGAAGAAATAGAATAATGTAATGCACAAGTGCAGATCCATAACGAAAGGTGTTTTTAAAAAAAATAAAATGAATAATTAGAGCAGGTGTAAACACTACTCTTTTTACTCACTGCTTCTCTCTTTAGGTTCATATTCATTTCTTCCATATTGGTATCTGCATGCCCATGCACAGAGCGACCATGGATGTAATAACCAAAGCAGCTGTGTGACAAGAGAAACACTGAAATCTAAAAGAGATGGGGGGAAGAGAAGAATATTTTAATTAGACCTTATTATTTTATTTTGAACTTTTCAATTCACAGTAGTTGTTAGACCACTCTATAAAATACACAAAAACTAGGCAGGTACCAAAACAAGTATGGCAGAAAAATACTGAATAACTCTTTTCACAGAATCATGGAATTTTAGGGGTTGGAAGGGACATCAAAAGATCACCTAGTCCAACCCCCCTGCCAGAGCAGGATCCGTTAGAGTACATCACACAGCAATGTCTCCAGGCAGGTTTTGCATGTGTCCAGAGAAGGACCCCTCTGGGCAGCTTGTTCCAGTGCTCCGTCAGCCTCACAGTGAAAAAGGTTTTCCTCATGTTTATGTGGAACCTCTTGTGTTTCACTTTGCACCTGTTGCCCCTTGTCCTATCACAGGACATCATTGAGAAGAGCCTGGCTCTGTCCTCCTGACATTCAGCCTTTACATATTTATAAACATTGATGAGGTCGCCCCTCAGTCTCCTTCAAGCTAAAGAGACCCAGTCCCCTCAGCCTTTCCAGTCCCTTCATCATCTTTGTGGGTCTGCACTGGACTCTTTCAAGCAGTTCCCTGTCCTTCTTGAACTGTGGGGCCCAGAACTGGACACAATATTCCAGATGTGGCCTCACTAAGGCAGAAGAGAGGAGGAGAACCTCTCTTGACCTACTAACCACACCCTTTCTAATACACCCCTGGATGCCATTGGCCTTCTTGGCCACAAGGGCACATTGCTGGCTCATGGTCATCCTCCTGTCCACCAGGACACCCAGGTCCCTTTCTCCGACACTGTTCTCCAGCAGGTCAGTCCCCAGCCTGTACTGGTACATGGGGTTGTTCTTTCCCAAATGCAAGACTCTTTTATCGATTAACTTTATCTATGTTCAACTAGAAACACACACCAGCTTCAAGTTTAATTTATCAAAAGGAAGGATCACTACTCAGTTCCATAGAGTAAAAACATACATCAAAGTTATTAGCTTTTATTTTGATTCAAAAGCTATTTCTGTGATACATAGCATGTATGTCTGATTCCAGGTGAGCTCCTAGGAGACTGTATTTAATAGGATTTCATTCAATATAATACAATGCTTACATACATATAAAAAACAAAACTAACTCTCTGTACAACCCATGAACTACATGGGTTTTTCACAGAAGGGGCTGGAAAGGCTGAAAAATGAGTTAATCTCTATATATTTAAGAAGTTCTGGACAAATGAGCTAATCTAACCTGTTGTGACTGCACTCTTCTTTGACTAAAAAGCAATTCCTGCAGTACAAACCTTCAAAACCTGTATATAAACTGAAGGAAAGTAGTTTAGGTGTAAATGAAAATGCATGAAAAAGGTAATAACTGTCCAAGAGGGACAGCCATGAATTTCAGTGGTTGAGGGACAAACACAAGATAGGAGAAGAAACTGAATATAAACATTAAATAAAACTGAGACACCTGTGTCTGTAATACTAAAGTCCTAAAATGCAAACCAGGAGAAACAACAGCAGCAAAATGTTACACACTTAATTTCTGTTGTAATTTGTTATTTTTTAAATTCTGTATGAGTATATGTAAACAAATTAATTTCATAAACCAACCTAAAAATTACACAACTAGAACAATATATTGATACCTGTGATTTCAGAAACTTTTTCCTGTTTACTGAAACCTTCTAGATTGCACCAATAAAGTGAGCTGAAGGAAACATTGACTTTGGTTGTTAGCTAGTAATTTCTGGTTAAATTACACAAATAAATATTATATAATGTTCTTAAAACTATGTTATGTATCATTCTATTAAAAATGCTACTGTACAACTGAGACAAAGAAATACTTACATTGCTCATGCAACACAAATCAACAAATTGGTTTATCTTGTCTTCAATAAATCTTTCATAAAACACAGAAAAAAATATAACCTGAAAAAAAATACAACCACGTTTTCTTTTATTAGTTTGCCAGATTTGACTTAAGCAACTAATTTCACAGCTTAATACCCACAAATTACAGGCTTCTGTAGTGGCCATCCTTGCATTGGACTCTATGAAATGGGATTGACATTTTTCTTCTAAGAACTAAATTTGTAGCAGTAACTTGCTTTTAATTTTAAACTTTGAACTGCTTCAAAGTTGTTGAAAACAAAACACTGCAGTTGCATAAATTCACATCTTTGAGGGGAATAACATTCTGACTACAAAGTAAGATGTCTCATTGCTCAGAAGATTCATTTGGAGTTCTAAAGCTGTGCCTTGCTAAAGCTGCTAAAAATCTAGATCAAGAAAAACAGTTAGGAATATACCCAGTGCTATGATACACAGTATGGATAATCTAGTGACACATTCTAGCTTCAAAGAACCAGTCTGAAAAGGGTCACTCAGCACACCACGTGTGTCACACACCTGTAAGAAAGCAATGGCTAGCCAGAGTGCAGCAGACACACCAAATCTTAAAATGCGGCTCCAAGGAGCTGTGTAACTCTCACTGCTTCTTGTAAGACTGGAAGAAGAATCCATTAGAGCCAGGTTTGAAAATCCTACCACCTGAAGAGATAAGAAAGTCAATATAACAACATGAAGCAATGAATAGTATTAATTCATCCTGTTGTTTCCACCATAACAGGAAGTAAGGAGATTTGGAAAAACAGACCTGGGAATAGTAGCAAGTTCACTATGATAGAGCCTGTCTAGTGATCCACTGTTATTACTGAGAAACAGAATGAAAACCAAAATGTATATATATGTTTTGATACATAATATCAAAAACACCTGCAGCTAAATCTTGTGATATATCCAGTGTTAAAACAATGTTTTTGTTTTGCAGCTTAAGGAACTGATTTTTTTGTTTGTATTTATTGAACAAAATTCTATTTCCCTCTACCCTCTCTAGGGCTGAATCTATTTTAAACAATCAAGAAACAGTTCCTAAATAAAAAAGGTGAGAGAAACACTATGTTTAGAAACACCTAAGAGGTGAAAATTTTTTGAAAATCATTGAGGACTGAAGCTGCATCAGAAAAAAAATATTTGCAGCAGGCTGACCCCCACCACAGCAGGACAGAAAACTAGAACAAAAGCAAGACGACTTGTGGATCAAGATAAAGACAGTCTAATAAGCAAAGGGAAAAAGGTAAAATAAACAGAATCCACAACAAGTGATGCAAAGGCAATCACTGACTACTTTTCACAAGTAGACCAGTGTTCAGTCAGTCCCCAGAAAACCTCTTCCCTCCATTTTCATAGCTGAGCATGATGGTATATGTTATGGCATACCCCTTTGGTCAGGTGGGGTCAGCTGTCCTGGTTGTGCTCTCCTCCCAGCTTCTTGTGCAGACGCAGCCTACTTGCTAGGGGCCTTGACACTGTGCAAATACTGTTCAGCAACAGCCAAAACATTGGCATGTTATCAGCCCCGTTTTAGACACAGATCCAAACCACAGCACCCTATGGGCTGCTATGAAGAAAATTAACTCCATTGCAGGCAGACCCAGTACCATACTGAAAAGCTCAGTTTTGCTGCCAGAGTACTATCTGCACTGGTGTCTACGTTTAGGCAGTTGTTCTTTCACCAGATGACCCCTCCCCAACTGAAAAGGGGAATCAGGAAATGAAGGAAGACTCTTGGGTTGAAATTATTTAATAAAATACTAATAAAGAACTGCTATTAGTCCCAATACTAATATGAAATACAAAGTTATACTCAGCCCATGCAGTGGCCGTGAGCTGTGCACTCCCAGCAGTGAATGCCAGACATCAAACACTGCAAGCACTGCAGCTCCAGCCAGGGCATGATGGTGACAGCAAACAGGAGATAAGGCCCTGGGGGACAGAACCATGGCCGAGATCCTCCAAGGACAGCAGCCATTGAGGAAGAGCCTTGTCTTCAGCAAACTTACCAACTCATAGTGAAAGTGGTTTATGGTAGGCAATACTCCTGGTGGCCAGCATGGGTCAGCTGCCCTGCATTGGGCTCCTCCCAGCCCTAGCACCAGGCCAGCTCAAAAGCACTAAAGACCCTGATCGCTGTGGAAACCCACATCCCATGGCTGGCCACAAACTATAGCAAAGTGTCTTATCAACTGTGTTCTCACAGAATGGGACCCTGCAGTCTTCTTGAAAGTTGCAGCTTCCCTGAAGACAAAGGTTATTCTGTAGTTCTATCCCAGTGAAGCCAGGACAACCAGCCATGTAGTCAACACTGCCATGGTGACCAGTATCAGCCAGTGCCAACCAGCAGCTGCTTTGGTGCCAGACACGAGGCCTGAGGGAAGGAAATTCCTTCTTCTGCACTTTCCAGCTTCCTCCAACTACTACTTTTCCTGGCTTGTTTTCTGCTACTGTCAGCATGATTAATGACAGCAGTTACTTTATGAAAAGTGTTAATCCAAGATGGGCTTTGAGCCATACTGAAGTTCCCCTAGTAGAGAGCAGCTGGTTGCCATATCCACCCTGTGCATTATGGTTCTAGGATAACTACATTCCAAACTTCAGCATGACAATGACAGTTACAAAGATGACCTGAGTTTTTCACAAACACCCAATTCTAGCCTATTCAGATATTTTGCATTACTTCCCCACTATCAGTGGCAAGAAAGGGATCCTCCACAGGGAAATTAATAGCTGGAATTATAAAGCAAGTTGTTAGTAATTCTCTTGTAAGAGTAGCTTCTCCCTCAGTAGTAACCTGAGGAGACTAGTTTTGGGAATATGCATTCTTTCCTCCTATTCTTTCCTTGCAACATGGCACAGAGGTTGTTCCTGGCCTCTATTTACCAATAGCAAAAATACTGATGCAATGAATGAGGAAAGTTTGGGGTTTTTCCTGTATTTAATCTAAAAGAAAAATAGGAAACTTAAAACCAGAAATACACAAATGAATAAAAGTATTAAAGATACGTAAAAGAATCTCACATGAACAACTAAATGCTAAGAAAACTTCCCAAAATAAAAGCACTTACCAAACTACAGAAGAAACAAGTAAAAATGTTTTTGAAAAGCTAAAGCATAACTTCTTGCATATCCTTAAGCAGGAAGCGAAGGCATATTGCCTTGTGTTATGCCGTTAGGAACAGAACTGGCACATTTAATTTCCTGTTTTATAAAAGATGACTATAGCAAATTAGCAGGAAGGAAGCTCAGTGTAGATAATCAATCACAAAACCAGAAATAAAGCTGCAGACTGTGGCAGGAGGGAGGCTGAAGAATTGAGTATGTACACAGATTTATCAATCTCTTCAGCCATTTATGGTAACTCATTACCTTAAAAAACCCCAAACAAAACTAACAAAGATCTCTAATTAAAGACTGGTTTGGTTACTTTAAAGTCTTCCTTAATGAAATGTTGCAATGACTTATACATACCTGCATATACATTAAAATTATTTTACTAAGTGACATGTTTTCAAGTGAACTTGAAGGTCATCCACTATTAAAACAGAGAATGCAGGACTCTCATGTTGTACTCGGGTTGTGAATAAAAAAAATAATTAATAATAATTGCACTAATAATACCTCCAGAAAAAAAAGAACTGCAAGCACTTGAAAGAGGGGATTTATCTTCCTCACTGTCTGAATTTCATTCCATTCATTTGCTATGAAATATGTCCGCCATATGCTCACAGGCGCAGCTGCACTTTTAGTAACACCTTCACCTATGAAGAATACATAAATAAAGCTCTGAAATACAATACTTGAGAGTACATCTGAATTTACAAAAACTGTTTATACAAACAAGCATAGTTCAAGTTACCTTCAACTGCTTTAAGAACTTTGCCTTTAGGTCTTTCCCAGTCAATAAAGAAAATATCTATAGTAAGCTGAGAAACCAGCAAATGTAAGAACTGCAGAGCCTAAGAAAGAAAAAGGAGAAATATAACAGGTAAGGACTGCAACAGCATATGGAGGAAGATGAAGACACAGTCATTGTCATTCATTAAACATAGTAAGTCATAGACTTGCCTATAGTTGAGACTGCAACTTTGTTACCAACTTTTGATACATCTTTTTTTAAAAAAATTAAAAGCTTGGCAGAATGGTCAGTCATGGGATGATATCCAAAGTAAAGAAGCAAATACAGCAAAGTACCAAGATAAAAAAAAAAAAATTACTAAGTATTTTCCCATAACATATTAACCTCTATGATTAATTCCAACTCAATACAATACCCATAATTTAAAAAATACTTGTATGTCCCATGAAGACAAAGTATTGATCTCTGAATTCCACAAGTATGCTTGAACATAACTACTTGAAGATGTTTTTTTAATCACAAACTGACAGCACTTATATTCTGCTTGAAAAGAAAATAGTATTGCTTTCATATTATTTTATTTGGGTTTCTTTACATTTTTATCCTTGAAAGAATAATTTTCCATAGATCACCTTCCTTAGACATTTGTTTCCCTATATAGACTCCACAAAATAAATGTCTATGGAAAAATGACTTAATTTTTATAATAAAATAAATAAATAAAACAAATTGCATCTATACACAAATAAAGTTAACTCTATATAAGATGTTGAAAAACAAGTCTACTGAAAATATACAGAGGCATATGTTGCAGTATCTGTAATGCCTGAAGAGAAAAATATTTACCTTCAAACTAAATGCACATGCTACGTATGTAACAAAATCTTCTTCTTGAGATGGAAGTGGTAAAAGTACAGAGACAAACTGCTGAGCCTATAATTGAGAAACTACATTGAAACAGCATTGACAGGATATATAACAACATATTAAGTGCTTAACAGCAGATAATGTTTTGCAGATAAAGATCAATATTTAACATGCAATCATTTTGAATTTGTAAAATATTTTAAGTGACTATCAAGCAGATGGCAAGTACAATGAAACCCAAGAAGAAACAGGTGAACACAGAAATGTAAGCACACAAAACAGAATATGAGCTAGAACTTGCCTCAATACTCTGACCCGGAAGGCAAAAAAAAAAAAAAAAAAAAAAATTAATTTTTGAGAAAATATATATGCGATATTAATAGGTTTACATAACACTTAAATGTGGAAAAGCACTTACTTTGAAGAACACAAGCCAATAAATCCCTGTGCCCACTGTGATGATAAAGAAAACGTTGGCAAGGTGTCCAGCATAAAACAGTAAGAACATCAAAACCGTCTGCAATTATAAAAACAGACTGTAGAGATCTGTAAAACTAAGTAAGTAATGCAGAGATACTTTTGTATCAAATATTGCACTGCACACGCTACAGGAAACCCTAGTACTGAAAAGTAGCCTTGGACAAAATTTTCTGCTATGGTCATACATTTATGGTTCATTCAGTATCTGAAACTCCTACATGCTGGTCTTTGTTCGAAGAAGAATTACTCTGAAAACTAAGGCCACTCAATTGATCAGAAAAGCTCTGTAAAAAGCTTTATTTTTAGCAAAAGCATTTCCTAAATGACAACATCAGAATAAAAAAAAATGCCTAGCTCCAGCTCATAGTTCTATCCAGCTAGGCCAGAAATTACTTCAATTACCTTTAGAAACAGAATAATAGTTACATAACAGGGAATGATAGCAATGGTCTTCTCAAAGAGAGGAAGACATGTCACTTTTCAGGTTACCAGCTGTATATACCTGCAAGTCAATTACAGAGCTTCCTGTACGCCTCTTCCAGCCTGCAGTCTTCAGAAGGCACCATAATACTGCAAGCCCACCCAAAACACCCAGTGCAATCTGAAGGGAATGAAAAATTATTTGCAGTGTTTTAAAAACACACAAGATAGAAGTAAATCATTATAGCAACAAATTTAAGGGCAATACAACTTACATCGGTCTGAATCCGAGCCTCTGACTGATTCATCTCGTAAGTGACTGAGAAGGACACCTGAATATTTAGAGACAGAAAGTAAATATGCATAGAAATTCTGCAATGCTGCAAGCACTACAGACAGTGGTAGTTCCCACACTTTTAGATGGTGGGAATTCCCATCTAGGATTACTACATAAGTACAACATATATCTCCATTTACTGTTACATCTAACCTGGCGTGCTACAGTGCTAGGCTTAGTACTAGCATGTGCTCTGCTATGCTTGGTTCAGCTTTTACCAACAGTAACAATGCTACGGGTGGATGCCCGCTATCTGCAAACTATAATCCTTTCAAATGCACGTAAGTTGTTGGGTTCTGGAAGGAGATACCAAAGGTCTGATACTTTCCCTTTTCTCAGTGTTGATTAAAAGTAACCTGAATGCAATTAACATTGATATCACAAAGTGAGCTCTTGCACAGTTCAGACACCATTTTTTTCCTCCCAGTTTGAATTAAATAAAAATTGTCTGGCAGCATCAAAATTGCTCCCTCTAGTTTAAATATCTGCATCTAACCTAAGACCTATTTTGATTTTGGTATAAAAGTTTTGTACAAGGAAGAGGCAATGTTTGCCTTGGTTTTATAACATCCTGGCTTAAATATTTTCCACTGCACGCTAAAGTTAACACAAGTATGATAATGAATAGTATTTTTGATTCAGTTTTAAAAAATAAAAGACAAAATCCCCAAAACAAATCCATCCTGCCTCTTACCTTGGCATCTCAAAACATTTGTTTCTGTCAGAGCTCATTCTATCACCTCAATTGAATTTAAGTCTAAATATGTTCAGTTACTAGAAGCTCACTGCTCATAGAACGTGGAATGAAATTCAGTGTATCTTTCTACTTGCATAAAATACGTTTAACGCAACAAGGCACTCAAAACTGACAACAAATAAGTAGATCAGATGCAGATGTAGGGTGAAACAGTAATAACATAAAATAGAGAATCTGAAAACAATTTTTCCTGCCTATGCCCCTTGAATGAATTATTTTCTAAGACCAGTGCAATTTCTGTGGTTAAATAATTCAGGTAGGGAAGAAGTGTCTGACTAATTTTTCTCTTTCCAGTTCCCTGCCCCTTCTTTGCTTTCATGCAGGAACACAAGGAATGGTTCCACTACCAGAAACTTCTAGCTACAAGTCAACCTGTACTGAAAGCCTCAACTGTTGAAGTTTGTTTAACAGAAAATGTTAATATTATAATTTTTTTAATAGCAGAATGACTATTCCACTATAATAAGTTCAGCACTTTTCCTTTTTTAAAGCAGTGTGATCTAACAAGCAAACAAGGCACAGGAATGGGACAGCTGAGCTGCTGCTCACCATAGCAGGCAAAAGGGCAAGTATAAAATGTCCCCCTACAGAATTCAGTGGTTTTCACTAGAGGAAAATCCCCCAAACTTGTCTCCATTCCCTCTGGCTACAGATTTTTTTATTATTTTACTTTAATTCTTAGAGACGTGCTGTAAAATAATACAGAACAGACAAAACTATAAAGGGCATTTTAGATATATGACCAATATTTTAACTTAAACTACAGGTGACCTGAAATGTCTGTGTCACAACAACCTCCTTTTAATGCATTGCTTTAAATAAAAATATTAAATTTCTTGCATAAATTGCTGCTCTCAGTGCATTGCAGGAAGAGTACTTCTGTTACTTTCTATGCATATAATTTTATTTGAACTGTAGCCTAATTTAGCATTATACGACTAACTGTAAAATCCTAAGGAACTTGAAGTTAAGAAAGACTAAAGATACAAGAAGAAGAAAATACTTTTAACTGTCTTGTTTCAAAAGCTTTAAGTTTTCATTAAAGCTTGCAACTTTAAAACTGAGCAGAACTAGAAACTGTTAATTAGGTTTTATGCCCCTCACCCAAATGTTCACTCAACTGGAATTCCAATGGAACTAAAAGTACAAAAAAAGAACAAAGCAGTTCAATTAAGATAACACAAAAATCTCACCATCACACTCTGGGTTTCAGGATTTTGGACACGCACATCTGTGTAAGCAATAGTAAGTAGAGGAGGGTAGATAGTTCCTCTCTGAGTATGGGACACCAGACGAATACTGCAGAAATACAGAGCATTATTTTTAATACAGAAAATGGAGAAGTTGCTTGGAAAGTATTTGTTGAAACTTGTGCTAAAAGGAAAATACCTAATGAACAGAACAATTAATCACCTGATTGTTATCTTGCTAGCAATTCGAATTACACTTGGTAGTTTTTCCAAGTCATTCTCTTTTCCACTCAGTGTATCCACCAAAAAAAATCGACGAGTCAAAAGCCAGTTGTTCATGTTACTGCCTTTGAGAAAACATGAGGGTCACATAACATTGAAAAAAGTAATTCAACATACAAAAAGCATGACATCTACTAGAAACAATATATAGAACTGTATGACAGATATAATTGTATTCAGGATGTAAAATTATTTGTTTTCAACTTAAACAAATCCATAATGAAATTATATTACTTCATTTGTGCACATTATTGATGGGGTCAGTGTATGTAATCAAAGCCTGCGTTTAACACTTTCAGAACTTGCCCACAAAATACGGAATTCTTAAAACAGAAACAAGCTATGGTGGGTTTTAGTGCATTTTAAAATAATTCAGAAACAGTAATGAATACAAATTATTTCCGTTTAAACGTATTTAGATAATTTAAATTCACAGAAATGTTACTATGAGAATCTTACCTTGATTAATAAACATTTCACTGTATTGCAGATTCAAGTTTAAAACTGGCACAGCCCAAAGGTATTGCTGTCCATTCTCACCATTATATTCAAGGAATAGGTCATAAAAGATTGGATTAGCAAAACTGGATAAAATCTTCGAAACCGAAACTTGGCACTACATGAAAAAAAGTTTAAAAAAAATATCAATTTAGCCATTTAATGCTTTTATCAAGTTGTCGATTCTTCTCCAACAAAATTATTGTGCAATCTATCCCATTTATTTGCAAAATACAAGGTATTCCAATTATTTTGTATATATATCAATATACACAAAGTCAAGTGCTCTAACCCCTCTCCCTTACCATAGAATTAAAGAATGGCTTAGGTTGGAAGGGACCTTAAAGATCATCTAGATCCAACCCTCCTACATTGGCAGAGACACTTCCCACTAGATCAGGTTGCTCAGGGCCCCATCTAACCTGGCCTTGAACACTTCCAGGGATAGGGCTTCCACAACTTCCCTGGGCAACCTTATTTCAGTGTCTCACCACCTTCATAGTGAAGAATTTCATTCTGATGTCCAATTTTTTTCTTTCCTGCTATTTCGTAAGCTTTGAAAACTCCAATAACTTTTCCTGCAGTGAAGATAGCTAAATAATATTTCCTCTGATGAGTCATCTGTTAAATTAACACTTGCCTTTGATTGCTTAATTGAATTCACTGAAGTAATTAGTGATCATTAATACATTAAAGAGTTAATGGGGACAACATACAGACATGGCATGGTTGCATAAGACTTCTTTCCATATGAAACCAGGCCAAAGATGGAGGCAGGAAAATTAAGAAGTTACAATGCAAAGTATATGATCGTCAGAATTGAGGCATTTTGTTCTTCACTGATAAGTCAGCAGCCTCATTAATGCCAATTCAATCTAAAATTCAGAACAGCATTTTATCTCTTACTTACACTTTGTTGATAAGTCGTTCCGAATGTATAAGCTGCATTCAATTTAGTTTGGGTATCAGGACAAAGCTAAATAAAACATAATCATAATTAGGTTAATTCCTAGCTATCATTCCTCACATTAAATATTCACAGGCATCCCAAGTAGTGTATGTATTCACAGTTCTAACAAAAGAGACTTTGTTCTATTTTTTAAGAAGAGAGAGATTGACTTTGAAGAGTAATCACAATTATTTACTGTACTGATAGCAGTGTTCTTAAAATGTTGGTTTAGCTTATCCGTAATTATTTTACATAATTTTCAGTTTCATCACTGAAGTTAAAACCCCTGGACAGCAGCATCCAATCAGGCACGAATAGTCTGGGGATAGAATGTTCAATGCACTGTGCTGCCTCAAGCTTTGTTAGTGGCTTCTGCTAAATCCAAGAATCCCATAAGAAAGGAACTCCACATTCATACTGTTTCCTTTCTCATACACTAGCGTTCTCAGAAGATCAAAGTTATACAAGCAACAGGTTTTTTTTTTCCTTTTCAATATAACTTTTATATTTTCTGCAAATAATTAGTTCAAAGCAGAAATAAGAAAAAACCCAATATGGCACGTAGCAGAGGGCATAATCCTTTTCCCAAAATGAAAATCAACTCTAAATTTACATATAACACAATTGTATTAGTGTGCAACTGACATTCTGGGAATTGCTGACATTCTGCATTGAGATTGCTGTAGCACTGTGATGTCTTACTATCACACACAATCTATTATTTAAAAGAGGCTTTGAATGGAAAAGCTATTCCTTTCCCATTGATTTTTGACACCTACTAGAAGCTCTGTATTTAGGAATTACATCCAAATAAACCTTAAGATCTGTGTCATAATATCTCATTTTCTATGCACAGTAATTGGCTTAGTAACCTGTTTTCTAAGACACTAGTTTTCTTTAAAATTTGAGAGGCAGATGCAAGACAGCTTGTCCTGAGACAGTAACAAAACAAACAAGCAGTCAGTATCTAAATCCTGAATGTCAGCTGCTCTTCTGTAGATAGTGGAGCATTTGAAGTGATGTGCTCCAAGAGTGAGTGACATGAAGAGCCTAGAAAAGGAGACAGACAATTCCCAATTGTTCTGGCTATTGTTGCCAGCTGAGGGAATTGCTGAGAGTGCCTAGATCACCACTGGACTACTAAACAAATTCTACTGAGTAACACATTTGGCAGTTGCCAATTTCTGCTAACTGATGAGCTAACTCCTATTGCAATTTCCACTCACTTCTTCCTTGAGTTTTTCACACCCTATAAAGCATGATATTGCTGAAGCTGAATGAGTATGTGGCACTGAAATTAGTCGGTAGAGTGTGCCAAGGGTACTGTGAATCCTCTACCCAGCATTCTCCAATTCTATGCAAAGTCTCCCAGCAAGTTTTTATAACTTTCTGTTATGAAAAAGTCAGGCAGCTGCTGGCCAAAGTGTATATTTTATATTAAAACCTAAGAAACAAGCACACAAAAAGTCCTGAGAAGGCTGGAAGAAAAAGGGGTGGTAAATCAGCTTTCCTACCTGTCTTGATAGTGACATAATTACTGATTCACTCTGCCTACCCATGACAACATCCAATAGGAAAATATTCCCAGAATTTTCTATAAATGTGGACCGAGAGCTACAGAATCTATTTTTTTCATCAAGAAAAAGAGGGCTAAAAATAAATTACATAACTGTATGCTGAATGGAAGAAAGAGATGGTTGGTTCTAAATGACCAGTGCTGTTTTTCAGATCTTTCCAATATTCCAAATTTATATTGCTCCAATGTAGTTGAATATATATTTTAGATTCTGTTGAGATCATCCTGAGCAAGGATCAAGGGTTATTTTCCCTAATCTAGCTCTACAGTTGTCTTATAAACTGTCACTACTGTAGTAACCAAACTCTTGACTTAAGGCAATTAGAACATTATGGTATCAAAAAAAGATAATTAAAACTGAACATACCTGCAAGATGCCTCCTTCCAAATTTTGCCACTTAAGAAAGTTTCCTGCTGCATCAAAGGATGCTGCAATAAATTGCAGCTTTACATCCTGATGATAAGACAAAGAAACAATGAAACTGCCACAAAGTGGACATACACATTTTAGGGACTGCTGTCCTGTTGTTTGATGCTTCCCTAAAACTTCCAGCATAATGCTTCATTTTTCCCTTTTGATGTTATGTTTTCAATACTGGTTTTGGTATTTCAACTTTTAAAAATCTTACTTTACAATTCTACAGCTTCACATGGTAACATGGAAAAAGTTCTAAAGGAACTTCTATACAGGTAGACATGCCCTAAACTAATCAGAAATCTATGCAGATTTCTACTGTAGACCAGGCTGGGATCTTGAGGTCTTTCAGGACCTTCAGTGTTTGGAATAATGAGTATTTCAGTTGCTAAAACAGCAGCTGCATTGCAGGACTGTTTAATTTAAAACACAACTTACTAGAATATGGCTGACAAAACCATTTTATTTCTGAGTCAAAAAGAACACTTCAGATAAATTTCGCAGTATAACTGACAAACAGGCTATTGATAGCACTAAGTACTGTCTGTGATTAGCCTAACCTGAATAAATTATGCCAGTTATTCTGATTTTACAATGAATCTGTAAAATAAAACACTTTACTGTTTGATTCCTTCTTAGAACTGTAGCAGTTAGCAAGCTACTTAGGGTGTACATCCCTTCCAGGGATGGAATGCTTTTGTTTTTTCCTAATTCCCTGTAGGAAAAGGAAAGGGCTGGAATAATAGATTGAATAGATCGCTGATACAAGTCAACTTGTGGGATCTGAAACAGAGATATTAAGCTTGGTATAAATGAAGCATGGATAGAAATGTGCAGATAAGCTCCACAAGCACCAGCAGGAAACAGCTGATCACAGCACAGCAATAATGAGTAACACTGTTCCCAGCAATACAGTTAAGAAATGGTTGTGATAAAACCATGGCACAGACATGTCAGCAAAAGATCATGTACCTTGGCACCAGGAGAATGGCAGCAAAGTCACAAAGTTACAGCACATCAAACACACCCTTCTTTTTCCAATTAGCTCACCAGGGAAACTGACAAAAGGATGTATGTATTTCAAATAAGGAATGAAGACCAACTTTGCCTCAGATTTATGGAGACTGAAAGACACAAGACTCTGAAGCAAAGGACAATACCAAAATACCTACTAATATCTAAGGAGTATAAAATATTTGTAAAATGCCAACGCAGAAGAACCTTGGGGATGTAATGAGGACTTAACAGGTGGCATTGCTTGCTCTTTATGTCACACACAATCGATCCTGGTCAGGCAAGCACATCTTGGCCTTATGGTAATGCAGGTATATGTCAGCAAAATAAATGTGTGAGCAAGTGAGTGTAAGTCAGTAAAATAATCTTACTGACCAATCTCCTCTTCCATAAAATCTCACACCGACTTTTGGTAACACTAGCTACCTAAAAATTATCTTTAGTAGAGCCACATCTGCAATGAATCTAAACCTCTTTATGTGACTATGTCCTCTTCCTAGTTTCCCCACTTCTACTACCCAACACCTACCTCATCTGTATTTTTAAAGCTGAAGACTGTA